CCATTAGCAAATTATGTGTGCTGGCAGCTTGCATCTGCAAATTAGTCATAAGGGAATGATTAAGGATGGATTACTATGGATTATGCTGATTGCCCTCGAAAAAGTGCTGTGGTTCCAAGCTGCACAATGTTAACTTCTGGCGGTGTCTCTTTTCTAAGAGCTGACTAAAATACTTTCATAAATTTTCATAGTGGTAGTTCCTTTGAAGTTTTTTAAGTAAAAGTGATGCTGAGAAAGCTAGTTTTGTTAAGAAATCTAGAAAATCCTCTTTTGCTCCTTGTCGACCAGGTGACGATATCTCACATAAAATTTCGATGAGTTTTTTTTGTTGCCACTTGGGTAAAATTACCTTTGACTTGTTGGAGATGGACTTCGATCCTCTTGTCGAGCATAATCAGATGAGAATTCCGCTCCGCCAATGCGAACAATGCGAAACACATAGTCCAACATAACTCCATTGCCTACCGCACATGTTCTTTTCCGCAAGCGAGGCAGAGTTTTTTCTAAATTGAACAGGTTCAGGCTTTAAGTAAGAAATACTTTCCTAAATATCTCATATTTCACTCATATTATAATCACAGCGGACCATAATTTTCAATTAATGAAATGAGTGTAAATACCAAATGAGTTAGGGAAACTATTTCAAAAAATCAAGACATACTAAAAAATCTCAGCTAATAGTACAGCGTATATTACACAACAGCAACGATGCATTTTTTAAGCGCAACGACAAATAAAAAAAATAATATTTTCCGTTTTTTTTTCTATTTTATAAACGCTTGTTAGCTTGATCAATTGTGTTATAGAAGCAAGAAAGATGATTATCCCTTTTTGGAATATACTCGTTGCTTGCTGTCATTCTGAGTGATTAAAAGATCTTGGCCAGTTGTTTACGAAAACAAAGTGGTATACCCACAACTGGGAACGATAGAATGAACCTCGGCATACAAATGAGTTAGCTCGGAAAGTTATGTGCGAGATTTTGTACAGCGATCAATTTTGAAATGCTTTTTTTATAGTAACTGGAAGATATTAAAAGTTCATATTACAAATTGCTTGACGTGCCCGCTACAAGTAATTTTTTAGACGCGAATTCTTATTTGAGTTTGTGGAACTTGTGATATAGTAATAAGAGAAGTGGAAGTAATGGAAGAATAAGAGACTAATAAAAGGCTAAGAATCCTTTGAATCACATGCAGCTACCGTAATTTTGT